CATTCAATATGTTGGAGAGCATCTCTTTTTTTCTCTTCTCTAAAATAGTGGAATAATCTGTTCCTTGACTGCTTGGTAGAATGTATCAAAAGAACAATTTCAACAAGGTGCTTTTCTTTGGGAGAAATTTTAAATAACATTTTTACTGTCTTAAGAGGCTTCTAAAATAATTCAGATTTTCTTGGTCTTCATGAACAAGTTAGATTACAAACCTTTCTAGAAATTTGTCCATTTCACCGACTCATTCAAATTTACTGTGATGAAGTTGATATAATATTCTCCTACTATCTTTTTAGTATTTGCTGCATCATTAAGTCCCTTTTCATCCCTCATATTGTGTATTTTGCATACTTCTTTTTTTCTTGATTATTGTCAGAGATTTGTTCTTTATTACTCTCATCAGAGAAATAACTTTTGGTTGTATTGATATTAAATCTTTGATTACCATTTAGTTATATTTTACTTTTTTGTCATTTTTATTTTTTAGTTATTTTACTGGTTTTTTCCCCATTTACTTTGTTGCATTGATGTCCATTTCTGCTTTGGCCTCGGTTTTGTGTCCTGTCACTAAAGCATGACTCATTGAAATTCAGGTTCTAGGCCACCAGGAATTAGCAGATCCTTCAGGGCAAAAGTCTGTTTCAGTTCTCTCCAACTCCTTCGATTCTTTGTGACTCATTTCTAGAGTCTATTATTACAACAGCTCATCCAGGCATTACAAAAAAATGTCTTTTATTTTTTTGTCAACCCTTCTTAGGTGTGCTTCCCAGAAGAAGTTTCTCAGAAACTACTCTGCCTGGAGCCCTCAAACAGCCCCCCTGGCGTCTGGAAACAGAGTCCAAATTCCTTAGCATGATTTTTCTAGGAGATATGACCTCAACCTGGTTTTCATGGCTTTATTTCCTGCCAGGTCATTTCCTCTTCCATATGGAAACTTCTTCTTAATTCATCTAGACCCAGATCAGTGTCATTTGTTGGTGATAACTTCCTAATCCCCAGTCCTTTGAACATGAAAGCCGTCTGTTCTATGACATTAGTAACAGCTTGTACTGAAATCTTTACAGCACTGTTCAATGTTTGATGAAGGAATGCATTTATGCCCACCTCTCCTGCTGGATTTTGAGTTCACTGAGGCGAGCACTGTGCCTGACACTGATTGCTCATTCACTCTGCTTGTGGAATGAACCAGAGGAATTATGAATCTCTCTCCTCACTTAACATGTATTTTCTCCCCAGTCCCACTGCTCATGCTTCAGCCACAGAAGGAATTACAAATTAAGTAATAAGACCCTACAGGCCCTGGGACTTTTCTTTTCTGCAGATTTAAACACCTGTGGCCCAGCTTTTAAATGGTCTTAGCCAAATTGCACCAAGCTTTTTGGGTGTACCTTTGGGTTCCGGAGTCTAATTGCTTGTAATGAAACACTGGAGTCATAATTTGATGGTCTGTAGGTTTCTCAGCTGTTTCTCTCTATGAGAAAATATATAATGGGACATTTTGCACGTGACTGTCTATATTTTATATGCAACACATCAGTGTTGTGTAAATTTTGTGAACAACTTCTATTATCTTTGAAACCACAGAAGCAACAAACAGTTATAATTATAGTCTGAAGACGCTATAGTGTTTCAAACATGCCTACAGTAGTGGTATTACAATGAGAACGTTCTTTTTGCCTGCAGCTTTCACTGTGCTCAGTGACATCACAATTATACTACTTTTTAACAGAAACTTCTGTCGTTAAACAGAAACAGCTTGTTGGAAAGTCTAAGAGTTTTCTTTCTTCTGAATTCTTTGATTCTTCCCTGAATAAAAGTGGGAGAAACGGGAACTATGATGGCATAACTCCATTCTTTGTTACTTCCCCGGCTGGTTTCTGCTATCATGGAGTAATAGGTATTCTACTTTGCTCCACATGGGGAATGAATGCACGTTATTTAAAACTTCTTTCTGTGCATCTGCTACTTGTCAACTCATGATCTTCTGATCCTTGAAGATTTGACAACCCTGTGATTTGCTTTAATGGAATTACTGAAAAGTTATCAACAAAGACGTTGCAGTGTAAGAATGCAAAGTAAGTCCTTAGATGTGTAGAGGGAAACGAACTTCAAAAGGGGAGTAGTGGCCTCAAAGAAATACCTGAATCATACAATTTTTGGTGTGGTCCTGCATGTCTTTAATTTTGTCAACTGGGAGAGAGGATGTTTACGTTGCCTTCCCTTTACCTCAGCTGTGACTTATTTTTTCTGTAGCTTGTTAATCAACACCTCATATGATACTGAATAGACCTCAGGATGGAAAGTAGAATCAAAGGAACATTCTACCTGGACATGGAAAACCTTCCTTCTGGTCTTGCCTTTTCCTGCCATTTTTGCCACTGACGGTGGCAGAATCATTGGATTAATCTTGCAGGTTTTCTGGGCCTTTATTTCTTTATCTGTAAAATTTAAGGAGTGGGTTAGATCAATGATCCTCAAAGTGAGGTCCCTGGACCTGTAACATTAAGATTATCTGGAAGTCAATTAAAAAAAAAAATTCACACACACACACACACACACACACACACACACACACTGCACACACACACAAAGATGATCCGGGAACTAGTTGAAAAGCACTTCTCAGGCCTTCCCCCCTCCCCCTCTTCCCAGACTCACTGATTCAAAAACTCAGAGGGTGGAACCCAGACATGTGTGTTTTGATATAAGCCCTTAGGTGACTCTGATGTGCATTCGTCTAAAAAACCACTGGGTTAGATAAACTTTAGGAAACTTCCAACCCTAAACTTCCATGAGTCTCTATGAATTTAAGGGTAATTTAGGACTAAATTGGATGTTAAGTAGGCATATTCTTCTGCTTGTAATTAAATTTAAAATTTGGATTCCAAACACAGATTTAGAAACATATGTAAGGAAAAAAAAAAAAAAGAATGCTGAAAATGTTGTCCAAAAAAATGTAATTACCCTGAAAATGTTTTTGACTATAAGCATTTGTAGAATTTGCCTCCATTTGACATTGCAAAATGAACTTGGTATTTCTGTCGTACATGTATCTTGATGAATATTTCTACTGAATGATCACCACTGCTTAATGGCTGTGATTTCAAAAAATAATTTAAAATTATTCAGATTTATTGTAATTCATTTCTTATATTTACAGAGGATCATAGTTAATAATCTGTTCTACATAAGTACACATATGGCTAAAATTTTTGTTATTGAATATCTGGGCCTTTGGTCTCCTATATAGGGAAACGTCCTTGTGTTTAACCACTTCTGTGCTCTATTAACATATGCTTTACCGAACAGTCTGCCTGGCTCCATTTTTTAATTAATGTAGAAGAGTTTTTGGTAGTGATTTTGATTTTCTAGGATTGGGATAATTATATTAACCAAGGCTTTATGCTTTCCAACATGGCTGGAGGGAAGAGTAGGAGAATTTTTATTCTTCTAAATAAGTTAACAAATATAAATATGCAACAGAAAAATGTAGAAAATCATTTAAAAATTCTATAGAAAGTAAAAAGAGACCTGGGGAAAGGAAGCGAGAGAATTATTTTTTATTTCACTTTGATGAGCAAGATAGATTCCAAAGACCTGTCCTCAAGAAAGAGTGGCCAGATCTCTGCTTTTCTTAAGAGAATTCCAAGTTGAAGAGGGGAAGATATGAGTATATGTCATGTTTCAGGAAACTATTTTCATGACCTCTTTCTAGAAGCCTGTGGAAAATTAGCTAAAACATTAATTGTTTTTTTTTTTTTTTTACAACTGGAAATAGCCAAAAGATGCAAACTAAAAGCACTAGGAAATAAATTTCTATTACAAAATCAGTTGAAACATAAAAGATATTTTGAGAAGTTACTCATTTAATAAATGTTTATTGAATACCTACTATGTACTAAGCACTGTTCTTGACTGGGGCTAGACCAATGGGTAGTGTATCTGTGCATCTTGCCTGTTCAAGATTAGTACCCAGTGAGGGAGAAAAATATTAAAGACGTGATCACACAAATTATGATTAAAAATACAGTGCAATAAGCGTTACAAAAGAGATGTACAGTCTGTAAGCATAATACATAATTCAAACATAGGCTAACCTGTGGGTTAGGAAAGACTTTGATACAAGTTACAATGGTGGTCACTCTGTTTGCTATTTGGAGACTAGTAGGTTGGGGGCAAGAGTGATGTGATAAACCAGTTAGGAGGCCATTGTAGTCATCAAGGTACTGTTCCCCGCCATCATGGAACTTATGCTGAAATGCAAAGGTT